GACGTCTGATGTGTTCTGAAGTTCACAATGAGCCTCCGGTGAGAGGCTGTGTGAATCATCCGCAGAACAACACAGAGGAGCCGCGGAGATATTGAATGGGAGCGAGATCTGAAGCAACTTCGGTGTGAATGTGCTCATTTAAATAGCAGAGAATAGACAAGGTCGAACAGGAGAGGGAAATAAGGATGTTTATTAGTATTGCATAGCATCCGCTAACGTTATCTCAGGAGTATATGCTGCAGATAAAACCCTATAATGAGGGTTTTATACTGTGTGTTATGGTTTGTAGTTTGAGACGACGATGGTGGAAGAAGCACTCAGATCCTTAATTAATGTCCCCCTCCGCTCCAAAAATGTGTTTTGCTTATTGTTACTTGTTCACTTGGATGTTTGACCTTTACTGTGCAGAGTTTGACACGAGCCAGCTGTTCTCACATTCATCTCCTGAAGGGAGAGAGTTTGTCTCTGCTAAACTGAAGACGTGTTCAAGCAACATTTTGTGACATCACAGCTTGTTCGGAAGCCAATTGTGATTCAATATGCAACTTACACACGTGTGATGCAGAAACATGAAGACTCCAGTGCACATACACTGAGAATGGAAAATGTTATTCAAAGTAGAGCATTTTTACTCTCAATGGAGTTCTATCTCCTATCTTATCTTTTCTTTTGGGGAAGTAAAAGTACCAATTCTACAATGTAAACATATTCCATTACAAGTTAAAGCCTGGAAATTACAAGTATTTTCAGAAGAATGTACTTACGGTAAAATTACTCATTATGTAGAACAGCTTATTGTTCTACAAATGAGTAGTTTTACTATTATTGGAGTGTTATATCATTATTGTTAGTAATGCATGGCGACAATTTTAATGTTGTCACTGGTCAAACTGACAATTCTAACTATTTTTTCATACCATTCGGTACATTAATATAAAACAATTTATCATTATTTATAAGTTGATCAAATTCTTCATATGTAAAATTTAAATCTGCAAAGTAAATAGCTTTAATATAAATGAAGTGGAGTGAAAAGTAAAATATTTCTCTCTGAGACGTAGTGGAGTATAAGTATAAAGTAACATAAAATGGAAATACTAAAATATAAAAAGTACAAGTACCTCTAATTAATACATATGTTCCTTTACATTGTTGCTTTGTGGGGGCGGCTGAGGCTCAGAGGTAGAGTGGCTCGTCTTCCAATCAGAAGAACCTTGGCTCCTCCAGTCCATGTCGATGTGTCCTTGGGCAAGACACTTACTCCCAGTGGCTGTGCCATCGGCATACAAATGGGTGTGATCGCGTATTAGATTTAGTCCTCATGGGCAGGTGGAACCTTGCATTGAAGCCCCTGCCATCAGATTGTGTATGAATGGGTGAATGCTGACAAGTGTAGTGTAAAATGCTGTGAGTGGTCAAAAGGCTAGAAAGGCGCTATACAAATACAAGTCCATTTACCATTCACTGCTAGTGTCAGAGGTGTTTGATCTTTAGCTGATCACTCACTTTCTCAGTGCTTTGCAGTACGTGTTTGTGTGAGCGTGTTTGTGTGTGTGTGTTTGTGTGTGTGTGTGTGTGTTTGTGTGTGTGTGGATGAGAGAGGCTGAGAGAGAGCATTTCTTTGCCTGACTGTGTGTTTGCATTTTCACGTGTTGGTTTGCATCCTCGATGGTTCGCAATCCATGTGTGATTTCTTTCACATTTTGCCTTTGATCTGTCCTTCAAGCTTAACATGACATTGTAACGCTTCACTGTGTGTGTGTGTGTGTGTGGTGTGTGTGTGTGAGTGTGTGTGTGTGTGTGTGTGAGAGAGTGAGAGAGATTTTGAGAGCCACAACCAGACGAAAGCAGGGTAGGGGTCGTAAACTGTGGTCATTAAACTCCACTCTGTAGCTCAGTATTGCTTCTCCAGTTTGTGAGTTTCAACATGTAACGTATTACTGCAATACTTTTCAGAGGAGTAGTTAAACATATTATTGGTATTTGTAGTAGCAGTAGTAGAAGTGGTAGTTACGTATAAGTATTATCAGGGTTTTCTCAACATTTTAAAGTTGGAATGGTGTCTGTAGCTGAAAGTATGAGGAAGAAGAAGAAGTTAAGAGGATTTGAAGATTTTCTCCATAGAGATCCTACTCAAAAACAAATTGCAAAAAGCTTAATAATTCAAAAGGTTTAAAGGTTAAAAACAGGAAAGGTCATTGCACCTTCTCCTTAAAGAGCTGAACATTTTGATAGTTGAACGGTTTAGCTTAAATGCAGAAGGAGAAGAGAACCAAAAAACGAAGAAATATAAGAAGTTGAAGAAGTTTAATAAAGATTCAGATAATGCTGCTTAATCAGCATTCCAACAATTAACAGAGCTGAAACAGTTCAAGCTGGCACAACATTTTATAAGAAAAAGGTAAATACAACATCAAAATAGCAGTTCAAATCAATAAATCATTCTATTAGAATGAAACAACTGCTTTCAAAAGGACGATGTGGTGTGAACATCATTCTCAGGGTCTTCTAACTGGACGCTCTCATCTGGAGACGAGACCGGCTCTCAGAGACTTGGTTCTTCCT